ATCCATAATCCCATCTCCCCAGCTCTTCTCCTGGGGCAGTGATTTTGAACTTGGCTAAAACATGAAGGGGACCCAGCCCTAGATTGCTGGGGTGGAGGATCAAATGTTTGCTGTTCATGGATTTGGTGCTGAATTGGGAGGCTGTGGTTTCTGCGCCCCCCCCCCCTCCCCCAAGAAAAGAGAATGAGGGTTAGGGGAAGGGGCCTGTGGTAGGGGAGGGGTGGGTGTCCAAGTGGATGTGACTGGCACAGCTGGGATCTAAGGCCAAGGTGGAAAGGGGAGGAGGGCTGGGAGGCTGAATGCCCGCCCCTGCTGCCCCCCCACCTTCACCCACTCTCCCCGCGTTTGCTGTCCTGACACTGGCAGCTTTCCTTCACGCTATGGCCTTTATCAGTGTATTTATTTACAGTCTGCATCAGCCTGTTCCGTGTAATCTACCCACAATGCGGACTTCAGGCCCCACTTGCCACCACCCCCTTCTGCCTCAGCTATCAGGTTCCCCTCCTTAATTAACTGGGGGTGGATTTGAGTGATGGTGGAAAATTAAAACAAAATGGGATATTCCTTCCCTTCCCCACTTTCTCAGCAAGGAGCCTCGCCCCTCCTTCCCACTCTTCGGGCTTGCTTCTTGCCCCATCCCTGGCAGTTTGAACCCACAGGCAGGTTGCTTGGGGAGGGGGGTGGCCTGCAGGGAAGGGGTGCGCCCTCCTGGTCTCCTGACCCCGCTGCTGCTTCCGTTGACCTGTCAGTTCCGGATGGAGGGGGTTCGTTAAGACCATTTAGCGAGGATTCCACGTCTCTTTGCTGTGACACCTTCGTGCACACCCAGCTCCTAATTAGGGGTTGCTGTGCAGTAAACAAAAATGATTATTTTTCAACCTGACAGAATAGCCGAAGTAATTGCACCCCGTTTGGAAAACAAGGGAAAATAAAAGCCCCTTTCGTGGAAAGGTGGGTGGGAGACGAAGCGTGCTTGCGGTTTCGGAAACAAGATGCAAAAATTCTTGCATGTGTAACAGGCATGACAAGCGGGTTCTAGGCGGCGCCATGATGGTAGGGAGTAGCGACTTGGAGACAATTTTCCCCGTCTGCTTGACATGTTCTTATTTTTGTTCGGGAGGCCCCTGGGACTTTCTGTGCAAAGGCCCCCTCGGCTCGCCGCACCCCTCTGAGTCACGGGTAATTTGGCCTGGGGCTTCTCTGGGGCTTTTGCAACACAAATGGATGGGGAGGCGGGGCCTGGGGAATTGCTCTTTGCAACCAGGTGCATGTTGCATCTACCGGGAGCCCTCGCGGGCCGGTCAGTGCAAGCAGAGCCACCCCTTTCTCGCCAAGGGGGGTATTTTAAAAGTTCAGAAGACTGTAATCGGCAGTTGCGGGCTCAGAGCCCTGTAGAAGCCCGTGCCACCAGCTACAGGAGCGAGGTGATGTTTCAGGCGTTGCGAGTGGTGGACAGCGCCCAGGCGAGGCCGGAAAAGTCGATGGGGCTCAGCTCGGCAGTACTCGGCAAGGCTCGGCGCCGGCTGGGTGTGGGGCTCGGAGGGACTCGTTGATGTTCGGCACCGAGTCGGGGGCCTGGCGGAGAGAGCCGAGCTGCTTCCTAGGGAGCCGAAGGCATTCGGAAGGCTCCAGGAGGAGCGAGAAGAAAGGGGGTGGTATGCTAGAGTCTGCAAATTAACTTTGCATCTGCCAAATCAACTCCTTACCTGGTTTTCTTAAACATGCCCCATAAATTAGGTTGGTATAATAA